TGATCGGAAAATTCCATAGCTTCATCGATGAAAAGATTGAAGAAGCGGGATCCTCCTATACTGTCTCTAGAAAAAATGAGTCTTTGGGTTAAGTTCATGCTTTGGAGTTTTTTTGAAATTTATTGTAAGAATTCTACCATCTGAGCATGTAAACATGAGTTGTTGTGGTAAAATTCAAAAATAACTTTTCATCCTTAATTTTAAAATTACTTTTTATCATGTCCGGGGGAAACTAGACGTTTGATGCGCAATGAACGACAATCAAATCAACTTGACGTAAGCAGAAAAGCTGTATTCTAAATTAATGTGTAGCCAACGTATTGAAAAGCGTTATTTCGCATTTTCTCGCAAATCAGCCGGCTATGAAGCTGACGTCGCCGCCATTATTGTAAGTTATGCCCCATTGCTAGGTAAGTGCCATACGTTAGGGTGCTTTAATCGAAGTTATTGGTCGCAGGAGAGTATTCAAGGTGGCGCACATTTGTTCTTGATTTCTTTGACTATTGAAGAAATTTAAGGCTATCTAGGTAGCGTTCTCTTTGCATCAAGCTCTCTTTGGAAGTTTTTTTAAAATTAAGCACCAATTTTTTACAGGTAAAGTGCCCCATTGCTTTGCATTCTAATTTTTGAGCATCCTATCATTATGAAATGAGCTTTCATCTAGCAATAAATAGATTTGACTATTTATGATATGGAATTATTTCACAGTTTTTTAAAAAACGTTCAGCTAGTCTCAAGCTTTGAAATTTAGCGTTTTCATACAACACCTCTAGCATACCATTGAATTTGTTTTGATTAGTGGCTACCCTTTTGAAATTAGAAATGCTGCTTCAAAATCGATTGGTATTTCGTCTCGTAATTTTTTTAACCAGATTGTATTCGATTGCGCATTCATATGATGATGTGAGGGTTTAGATGTGACGGAAATATCCCTTCATCCAGTGATGCCTCATCGTCCTCTTGTTCTCCATCGTCCACGGAGAACATACACCAACAGCAGCAACAACCTATGAAGAGTAGCGGTAAGCACAAGCGTTGTTACGTCAATTTTGTAAAAAAGTTTTAATTCTGTTACAGGGTTAGAAGCCTAGTAGGATTAAGTTTGTATGCTTCCTCTTTAGCAAGTATTTCTTGCTGCAGAATAGTCATTGCGTCAATGTAAATTTTTCATTATGCCATGACTTGCCAGTTCATTTCAAATCCAATAGTGCCCTCCTTCAGCTTGACGTCATCCTAATTTCCTTTTTTTCTAAAGAAACGACGATCGATTCGGCCGTAGCATCCATCCTGAATCAGGCGTTGAAGCCAGAGCCGTCAGATGGCGAGTTTTCAGCCGATTCCAATGGCTCTTCTGCTCATCGAATGCCCATGCAACCGATGCCGCTTCCCATAGGTAATTGCATTCAAAATTTTCCATCTTGCACTTTATTGTATGGCCTTTGCAGGTTGAAATCGATTTTCTGCTTTGTTGCTTTAATTGCTAAATTAGTTTGACATAATTGTCCAGAACTGAAAATCTCGATATGGGCATTGA